AAAAAAAAAAAAAAAACAGAAGTACTGCAACTATCTGCTGTTTCTAGTTTTTAATGCTAGATGCCCAGCCTTCTTCATGAACATAAAGACATATACCATAAAGATGGAACTTTTCCCTCCGCATTTCAAATATCCTGAAACTAGTTAAAAGCAACTTATTTTAGCCCATTTCGCTCAGAATCTTTATCCTTTCTCACTCATGCTTTTTGTTGGTCAACAATCAACTAAACTTCTGTTTACTTCATTACTCATACAGAGAAAGCAGTAATCTGATTCAATAATAGTATAATAAAAGAACTCATTAAAAAGAAGAATCTTTAAACTAATAATTGATTCACAGACACTTCCAATTCAGACAGAAATATGTAGCAGAAACCTTTACAGCCATCAAAATTACATCTTTTTGCAAATCAAAGAATTGCAACTACAATATTTATTTCCAAACCCCCCACCCCGCAATGATACAAATAATACAGAAACATGATCACTACATGAACATAACAAATAACCCAAAAAAAAAAAAAAAAAAAAAAAAAAATTGTGAAGCTCCTTGGATCCAATACCCAAATCATTGGGTCCCAGTAGTACCAGAGAAAAGAACTACCGACTTTTAACAGTACAACAACAATCATAAGCTTAAAAACTAGATTGAAATATACCCAGAAAATTAAATGTAGCAAAAAAAAGGCAAAACCCCACAAGATATGTGGATCAAAACAAATAAAATTTGGAAGCATAGAGACACTGACCTATGCAAACGTGCAAAGTGGGGTTCTGCAGGAAAATTATAGGAGAAGCATTTGGCCCTTTTTCTTATGATTGCCGGGGATGCATTTATATACGTTTGTCGAATTTTTTACATTTCGTTTTTATTTGTTTTCATCTCGATTTTGGTGAATTTTATTATTACTGAAATAGTAATAAAGAAAGATGATTTTCTGGGATTCACTGGGGAAAGTGGGAATTCCGGAAATCTTGCCACGGATTGCAATTAAATCTCAAGTCAATGGACCCTTGCCCATTTTGCATCTTATTACTAGAACTATTATTATAGTATCTTTTGTTTGTTTCTCACACGGTATTGGTATATGCGTATTATAGTCCGACTAAATTCGGATTCGGTATTTTGTATCTATACCCTATTTTAGGGTCACAATTGAAATTATACTCACTTTTTAAAAAAATTACAAGTCTACCCACTTTACGATCAACTTCAAACTTATCGGGTCTGAAGTTAAAAAAAAAAATAGTCTGAAGTGCATTGCACTTAAGGCCAATTAAGTCTAAAGTGCAATTACACGTAAAATGTACTTAAGGCCAAATAGGTTTGAAGTGCAATAAATATTTTCATGTATTTAAGGTCAGAGAAGTCTAAAGTGAAAAATTGCACTTCAGATGCACTTAAGCCCAAATAGGTCCGAAGTGCAACCATTGGTTTCACGCACTTAAAGCCAAAAAGTCTGAAGTGCAAAATTGCACTTCAGATGCACTTAAGGTCAAATAGGTTTGAAGTGCAACAAATGGTTTTATGCACTTAATGCCAAAAAGTCTGAAGTAAAAAAGAAATTACAATTCAAATGCACTTAAGGTCAGATAGGTCTTAAGTACAACCAATGGTTTCATGCACTTAAAGGCCAATAAGTCTAAAGTGAAAAAATTACACTTTAGATGCACTTAAGGCTTAATAGGTTCTGAAGTACAACTAATGTTTTCATGCACTTAAGGCCAAATAGGCCTGAAGTGCAAAATGCCTAGAAACATAAATTTGTTCTTCGAATTTTAACAATCCAATATACTATTTAACACCTAAATCTAATCCAAATGAGCTCAAATTTGAAACATAACTTTCAAATATCATCAAGAACAAAACACAATCATCAATTTGTCAAAACAACAATAAATCTAATGAACCCATTTTGCAATAAGAAAAAGAAGAAGAAGAAGAAGAAACCTTAAGGAATAGTAAAAAATAAAACGTCACAGCAGCTCACCACTGTAAAACATCATAAACTATCTTAAAATATATTCACAAACACCATATAAAATCACTGTCACCCGAAGAAGAAAAAGAAGAAAGAGGAGGAGGAGGAGGAGGAGGCCTAAAGTTGTTTAAAGTTTAGGTACTAGTTAAAAGAATTTTAAAAAGCGGGTACAAGTTAAATAGGGGCGAGAAAATAGGGCACCCGTGCAATTCTTTTACTCCGGATTCTCGTCGTATAAGGCTCATTTAAGCAGAAGCGTTTCCTAACAAGATTTTTTCTATAACCGGGAGTACTATTATTATTCAATAAATTTAAATGGTAATATTTTATTTAATTACTCATATTTCTTTGTTTAATATTATTGATTGCAACTCTTATTGGGATTTAAAATTTGTGCCAATCAACTTTCTGGCAAAATGCTTACAGTTAAATCCTAGTTAGAGATCCAAATTCTAATTGGTTTTAAATCCCGGTTAGAGATCATTGTGTTTCAAAATTTAATTTTATTACACTATATATATATATATATATATATATATATATAAAATTGTTACGCGACGCCTTCATGAGATTCCTTGGAAGGGAAACGTAAGGCTAAGCAACCGATGTATGTGCGATTACTATCCACCAACTGCATCACCTCTATACGCTAGACGAGACTATTAGTGTCATATGGGAAAATCAATGTCAAGAGCAATTGAAAGAATAGAAATGAGAATGAAAGAAAGCTTGATTGCATTAATAAAAGCTATTATAGAAAATCAACACTGGGTCGAGAAGGAGAGACACCAGTATAGAGAATTGTTTGCTTGCTTGAAAGTTTGATTGCTTGATCCCCCCTAATAATGCTTAAAAAGAATAGACCAAAGTTACAGGACTTGACATAACTAAGTTAGAGAGACATAATGAAAATACAAGAAATAAAATTACTCTATATTTATAATAAAAAGAACTTAGGTTCCTACAAGGTAGCAGCGGGTCCGTTGGCGGAAACCTTATCTTTATCATCAGAATCTGCATGAACGGCATTATTGGCATCTGCCCGTGCAACGCTGTTGGCATTTGCCTGCGGCTGGGCGCTGGCGAGGGCTATCGATGGGGCAACATAGGCACATGCGCGCTTGCCACTTAGCACGACCAAGACCACGAGGGTGTCCATGGTGCAAAGAGTTGAGGCTTCCAGGACGCCATGAGGCGCATCCAAGGCGTCATGGGGCATGACTGGAAAGCCGCCTATGACATTCTCCCCCACTTGAGTTGGCGATGTCCTCGATGCCTTACTTGCAAGATAATCATCGATCATGATCTTTTAGGTTTTGAGGTTTGTTCCACTCTCCCAAGTATTCTTCTTTGTATCACAACCTTGCCATTTCACCAAGAACTCTTGGTGATCTTTTCTTGAAGCATGAATCACCCGATCATCGAGAATAATTTCTGTACGTTTTTTCTCGGTTAAATTAGGGCCTCGAATACTGGGTATTGTGAGTTGGCTCTGCGAGGGATCCTCCATGTCTTCCCGAAAAGGTTTCAGAAGGCTGACATGGAAGACTGGATGAATCTTCCACCAGGCTGGGGTATCCACCTGGTAAGCAACTTTCCCAATGCGCTTCTCAATGGACAAGGGTCCAATGTACTTTTACAATAGGCGGGGTCATGGACCCCTACAAACAAGTATTGTTTTGGGATTTTCACCATCACTTTGTCTCCTACTTGATATTCAGCAAAGCGACGATTTTGATCAGCATGTTTTTTCATCCGCTTTTGGGTTGACAAGATAGCTCCACATTATCTCCAATTTTCACTTCGATTCCTTCGAGAAGCTAGCAGCTAGAGGAGATTTTGACATATTTTGGGCATTCACAATGTGTGGGAGTAGCGGTTGTTGTCCCGTAATAATTTCAAAAGCACTTCTGTTTGTACTAGAGCTCTTTGGTGAATTGAAACACAGTTGAGTAGCATCCAGAAACTTTACCCAATTCATCTGTGATCCGGTAACAAAATGGTGGAGGTATTCCTCCAGCATGCCAATGAACCGCTCTTTCTGGTCATCAGATTATGGATGGAAACTTGAAATGTGGCTCAACTTGGACCTGAGACACTTAAAGAGCATAGTCAAAAAGTTGCTAGTGAAGCGAGAGTGGCGATCACTAACAATGTCTTTCGGCAGGCCCCAATATTTGACAACACGAGAAAAGAAGAGTTGAGTTGTATCTTATGCTGATATATATTTTGGGGCTGCTATAAATGTAGCGTATTTAGAAAATCGATCCACAACAACCAAGATAGTTGTAAGATCTTCGAACTTGGGCAATCCGGTGATGAAATCCAGTGACATGCTTTCCCAAGGTCTCTTTGGAACATGCAATGGCTCTAAAAGTCCTGCTTGTGTCAAGTGGTCTGACTTGTCTTTCTGGCATACTAGGCAAGTCTTCACATACTAAGCAACATCATCAGCTATTTGAGGTCAATAATAAGCACGACGCAATAACGCCATGGTGCATTCTTCACCTGGGTGGCCAGCCCACAAAGTATCATGGAATTCCATCAGAAGAGTCCTTCGCAGATCTCCTCCTTTAGGAACATAAAGGCGGTTCCCTTTCACCTTCAGGAGCCCATTTTCTATGTAGAACTGGCAGTTCTTGCTCTGTCAAACCAAGTCAACCAAATAATGTGCAGCAAGATCCTTGGTGAGTAGATCACGTATCTGATCTTTTATAGTGGTGGCCATTTCGCTCCCCCTTAGGGTGGCAAGTAGGCACACTGATGCTAGGCCAGCCCTCCGACTAAGCGCATCAGCAACTTGGTTGGTCTTCTTACTTCAGTACTTTAAGTTGAAGTAAAATTCTGCTAGGAATTCCTGGCACTTGGTCTGTTGTCCATTAAGCTTTGGCTAGGTCATGAAATGACAAACAACCGTGTTGTCCGGCTTGACCACGAACGGGGTTCCCAGCAGATAGTTCCTCCAAAGGCGTAACTAGTGGATGAAAACCAATAATTTTTTTCCGTGGGCGGTGTAGCGCCGTTCTGCATCCTTCAACTTCCAGCTCTCATATGCGCAACTGGATGCCCCTCTTGTAGCAAGACTCCGCTAGAGCATAGTTAGAGGCATCTGTTTGTACTTCGAACAGCTTGGCCAAATCATGAAGGTCCAAGATGGGATTACTAGACATAGCCGCTTTCAATGCGTAGAAGGCCTCCGCTCACCTGAGACCCTAATCCCAAGGCATGACTTTCTTTAGGAGTTTTACCAATGGCACTGCAATGTGAGAGTAATTTTTGACAAACTACCAATAGATGTTGCACAGGCCAAGGAACACCCTTAAGGTGTGGATATCCTTAGGCGGCGGCCAATCTATGATAGTTTGAATCTTCTGTTGGTCCATCTTGATTCGCCCTTCCTCGATGACATGTCCGAGGAAGTCGATCTGTTTTTGGGCAAAGGAGCACTTGAATAGCTTCATATATAATTCGTCCTCCCGCAATCGGGATAAGACCTTCTGCAGGTGGTCCATGTGAGCACCTAATTTTTTACCGTGCTCGAATATTTCTCGCTCCCATCTTCCCAGGCATGTCCCCACTCTACTTTCACTTGTCTCCCATACTTTGTCCCCCATGCTTGTCCCCCATACTTTGTCCTCCATGCTTGTCCCCCCACACTTTGCTCCCCACTCCACTCTCCATTGTTCCCCACTCACAACCCCCACATGATCTCCCCATAAATAAAAAGAACGGACTCCCCACTAGGGAATCCCCCCAAAAAAGCTCCCATTTTCCTCCTTGAAAAAAGGCAACTGTTACCCCTTTTGCAACAAGAAATTGCACAGCTTTGAAGCATCATCTCCCTCACCCCAGCTCCTCAATTAAGACGACTACATAAAGCTTTCAAAAATCAGTCGAATAGAGAGGCGGAAAAAAAAAACTCCAAAAAAAGAAGTAGTAAAACACCATTCGAAATAGCCCCCAAGACAACTCCGAAAAATAGCCAAGCAACCAAACTCCGTCGAAGATCCGGTGAGGCTTCCAGTCGAGGTCATCGGTATAGTTTCGTGGTCGAGCTAACGAGGTTGTTGTAGAGCTTCAGTCAATATCCTGTTCGATTTGGATTTTAGAGTTATAAAACATTTAAAGTTCAGATTCAACTTTGAGGTTCATCTTCTCCATTGTTACTTTTAAGCATGTTAGTATATGACTTGATTTGATGAATGTTTTGAACAGTGAAGTGAGTTTCTTTTATTTGTGATATTGAATTTAATCATTTATTTCTCTTACTGGTTTAATTCTGTTAATAATCGTAAATTTCTTTTTTTCGATTTTAAATCACGTTTTCCTTATTTTATTGCATATTTGTCTTGTTTTAGATTAGTTCAAAATGGTTTAGTTGTCCATCTGATTTTGGCATTTTTGTTTTTGCCCACTTTGGTTTGAATGAGTTATATGAAGTACTAGAGATTTCATTTTCTTGGTTCTTTCTCTTTCGTTGCTCCTTGTTGGCTTAAATGAGTAGGCCATTATTTAATTAGTTAAGAACATGAAATATGTAGTAAGTAGTAACTTTATATCTTGTGTTACTTTATCTAAATATTCATGCATTTTATTATTCATGAATTGATAGTTTTCAGTTGTTGCATCTGACTTATGTGTGATAGATTTTGGTTAACTATTTAGGATTAAATTAAGCATATAAACTATTTAGTTGGGCCATAGAACTTTAAGACTACAGCAGTGTTGAATAAAATATTTTCGGCATAATTGTGAGTTGTATCTTTGATTAAGTGACTTTGAGATTCTTAGTATTACTCACAATAGTATTCTATAATAGTTACATAAATCATGGCCTTACAATAATCTTAAAGTTTAGGAAGAATAATGAACAACGATAGAGTGGCTTAGGTGCGCTTTAATTAGTTTATCGCGATTATGTATACGTTCGTGTGACATAATTGTGATTACCAAAATTAAAAACGAAGTATCTATTCATGCAACTTTGGGCAAAACAATCTTAATATAATAAAATGCTATTAATTTTGTATACATACGTGTGACATGATTTTAGCAAAATAAACAAAACGAATTAACACAAGTGATTCGTTTCAAAGATATTCCATATTTTTATAATTAAAAGCGGATAGATAAAACATGAAAATCAATAAATCATAGTTTATCCAAAATTAATTTAAGCCAAGTTTAAGTCGATAAAGCAACCGTGCTAGAACCACGGGACTCGAGAATGCCTTACACCTTCTCCCCGGTCAACAGAATTCCTTACCCGGACTTTATTTTCGCAGACCAATAATAATAGAGTCAGACATTCCTTTGACTAGGGATTCAAATAAAAGGTGACTTGGAACACCCAAAAACTCAATTCCAAGTGGCGACTCTGTAAATAAAATAGTCCCTACTCAAGTTTGTCACTTTAATTGAAAAAACTCTTTAACCTACAACAATCCATAACACATGTCTTTTTGGGGTGTATAAAAGGAGTGTGACAGCTCTGGCGACTCTGCTGGGGAATTTTCAAGAATTCGAGCTTGTACATTGACTTTATTTGGCTTTATTAATTTTTGTATATATTGTGATTTATTTGGGCCTAATGTGTTACTTGTCGAGTTTTTACCGTTTTGATATTGTTGAACTGTATATATAAATTGTATCTTCTCTTGCATCCCTCTGAGTCTTCTGATAATTAGTTATGTTGTGTTTGCCTACCAACATCACAAAATTTCTGTCTTGAGATAAAGCCAGTTAGCCTACCAGCTTCTGGTGAAGGATTTAGTCACACATGTTTAGGCGGGAGAG